ATTCTCCATTGGGGAAAAAAGGCACTAGATGGGAAACATCAAGTCCGGGGTTTTACTCGGACTTTGGAGTCAGGAATTCAGTTTTCTTTGAATTTCAAAGGCAGTTTGTAGCTTTCATTGAGGACCTTCTGAAAAGGCTGGTCTATGGGTTTTGGTTTTGTTCCCCCATGATGGCTAAACGGAGTAATAAAATAATTGCTGACATACTGTTTTATTTACAGTGTTGTATTCAACAATAAACAGAAGGCATGCTGATCCTTCTGTCCTTTAATCTTTGTGTTTTTTTTACTACGGCTTCAGCTGACTCACTCCTCTGCCCGGCCGCTGGTGGAACAGAGGGAAAGGCTTCGTGATAAGGGCAGGCAGGGATCCACAGAAGGCGGCAGATTCACTTCTTTCCCATTACAGGGAGGGAGTTAAGGAACAACGTTTGGCTGGAAAGAGTCACTGCCTCTGTGGGACCAGAGACACAACTTATTGTATTGAAGGGAGGACAGTTAACAGAGCTGTCAGAAATTTCAACGCCGCCAGACAAGGAAAAGCAGATCTTATAGGGGTGAATGAATGGGTGGGTGATAGCTGCTAAAGGAATGTGGAAAAGGCACGGAATGACTTAGGTGGGGCACTAAAACCTTCACGAGACTATAGGGGTGGTTGGTGGGTTGTTTTTTTCCCGGCTGCGTTAGGTAAACGGATCAGCAGAACATCTTACCTCAGTAGTTTGCGTGCCTGAAAAACAACACTTCTCACGCGGAGGTCATTTCTGCATCGGCGCTGTGAAGTGAAACCCTGCAGGATCTGGACGTGAGGTGGGTTAATCGCGTCGCTACCTCACGTCGGGAGATGGAAGCTGAGCTCTCGCCGGCTGAATAGGCCAGCTCTGAAGATCAGAACACCAGCACTGCTGCGGCAGAGCTGGGGATATAAGCCTCCTGGGTACTTACCGGCTCTGTCCTGCTGGGGGCCTTTGCTTCCGTTCCAGTTGCAGCGTGGGGAGCAGTGACCCTACTAGTAAGTCCCTAATTTTCCGTAAACTGGAAACGTATCTTCTGGGACCGTCGTGGTTTGGGCCTGATTGGCAGCCAACCACAATGCAGCAGCTCTCTCTCCCTTCCCCTCCGGCAATGAGAAGGGACAGAGAGCCAGGCTTGGGGTTCGAGATAGGACTGGGATGGGGAAAAATTCCCTCTTTATGGGCACGAGCAAAAGGCAGACTCGTTAGGGGAAGAAAAAAGGAACATACATTTATTACAGACACTAACAACACATAACAGAGTAGGACAGTGAGAAGCATTGCCACGTCTTGAGAACACCTTCCCCCCACCCCTCCCTTCTTCCCGGGCTCAGCTCTGCTCCCGATATCTCTACCTCCTCCCCCAGGGGCGCAGGGGCAGGGAATGGGGGGTGCAGGCAGTGCTGCCACTGCCTTCATCTTCGGTGAGGGGAGTGTCCAAAACTTGTTACCCCCTGCTCCATCGTGGTCCCCCTCTCACAGGAGACAGTCCTCCACAAACTTTCTCCGACATGAGTCCCTCCCACAGGCCGCAGCGTTCCCCACACTGCTCCGACGTGGGTCACTAACTTCCTCCGACTGGATTCCCTCCCACGGCTGCAGCCCTTCCCGAGCTGCTCCGGCGTGGGACTCCCCCGCATGCTGCAATCCTCCCAGCACTGAATTACAGCAGCGGGGCTGCCTTTTCCCATGAGACCCCGGCCTTCTTTGGGCACAGCACCTTGATCAACCGGGCAAAAAAACCCCACAGGCCACAAATCGGTGTCTGCTCCACCGTAGATCTCCGTGGGTGGCAGGGGGGGGCCGCCCTGCCGTCTCCCCACAGGATACAGGGGGGTCTCTGCTCCAGCACACCTCCCCCCTCCTTTCTTCCTCCGTTCCCCCACTGACCTTGGTGTTCACGCAGCTGCAGCAACTCCTCCTCACCAGTCCCACTGCTCCTCACCACGTCCCTTCTTAAATACGTTATCGCAGAGGTGCAGCCGATGGGCTCAGTTTTGGTGCAGAGGTGGAGCTGACGTGGAGCTGGGGGAGCTTCGAGAAGCTTCTCACAGGGGGCCGCCCCGATAGCCCCCTCCCCTGCCACCAAAAAACTCCACCACTCACTCAACCCAGGACAGGGACAGACTGGTTTACGTTTTGTTTTCCTCATTTGCAAACTGATCCTTAAGCCACACAATTTTCCTTTGCTACGTACGATTGTTCAAAACATTATCTTCTGAAGATGGCTCAGTAGCCTGTGGATCACCGGAACACGTTAAAGGCTTAATTAGCGTGGGCACGTGAAGAATGTAAGTGGAGAATTGCAACTGCCTGGGCCCTGATGTAACTGAGATCCTTCTCCCATCTTTGGCTGGGCTAACGATGTTTTCTGCTCTTACCGAGTTTCCTCGGACAACTGAAGTGTGCTAATGCAAGCCAGGGCTCGCTGGTGTTCACCTCCAGTCCTGCTGTCTCCGCGGATACACCTGGAAAACGATGGGCAAACCACCACCTGTTTGCTAGGCTCGGCCTTCAAATTCTTTGCACTCCGAAATGAACCCTGAAAATGCGCTAACAGGCGCCGGGACACTTGTGCCGCCGCTCCGTTGCCTGCAGCTTTGCCCCTAGAAGCTGTGCTGCAGCTGCTTAGTTATTGAAAGCCTTACCCACTGAAATCCCGCGGTAGCCTTTGGGATTTCATAGAAAAGCTGGACATCAAGTCATACAGGGCTAACGGGACATCAGCCTGCTATGGTTTTTCTCACCGGTAGTCCGCGGAGGGACCTATACTGCCTACCCCCAGCACCAAGGTACAGCCCTGAGCGGAGGATCTAGTGGCAGTTCTTAGGAGATCACATCTGGAGCGCTCAGGATATGAATACGTGGATTTCTGTTCTGCTGAAACGAGTGGTGACGAGCAGGCAGGTCTTCTGCTGGAGGCAACGACTCCTGCTACAACGACTACACAGCTCCTTCAGGCTGGGTGGGTAACAATGTGGAAATCATTGTTTCAAAAGCTCAGAGCAGGACATTTTAACCTGGCAATGAAAAACTGCTGGCTCAAAGCATTACTCCGTATCTGAGCTTACAGATGTGTGTATTCACAGCTCTTGAGATCTGGGCCAGCCAAAGCGAACACTATTGGAACCGAGTTGTTGCCACCTTTCCCCCTCCCTTTTTAAAATACGAAGTGGGCTCTCTTCTCTGCAGGAAAAGAAGTGATATTACTAATGATCTAGCACGCTCTCGTTGAAGTACCTCGGAACAGAATGGAGTCAGTAACTAAACTACAACAGAGGAGCCTCCCTCTGTGACAGCTGGTAGGTACTGACCTGTTCTAAATCCACTTCAGTCACTGAAAGGGAGAAGTAGAACTTTGAAAACATCCTGAATGTTCCGGATTCCAACACTCACACTCTGCCACATTGATGAAAGACACAGATGAACACACACACGGAAGCTGTTTTGTTTTTGTTTTTTTTTTTTTTTCCTTTTTTCTCTTTAAGTCCTGTGCTGCTTTGCTGGAAGGCAGGTGGCTCCGTGTGGTCGGGAAGCCCGCGCTCCGTGGCACACAATTTTCCTTTGCTACCTACGATTGTTCAAAACATTATCTTCTGAAGATGGCTCAGTAGCCTGTGGATCACCGGAACACGTTTGTCCTGGGTTTGGGTGAGTGGTGGGGTTTTTTTGGTGGCAGGGGAGGGGGCTATCGGGGCGGCCCCCTGTGAGAAGCTTCTCGAAGCTCCCCCAGCTCCAAGTCAGCTCCACTTCTGCACCAAAACTGAGCCCATCAGCTGCGCCTCTGCGATAACGTATTTAAGAAGGGACGTGGTGACGGGCAGTGGGACTGGTGAGGAGAAGTTGGGGCAGCTGCGTGAACACCAAGGTCAGTGGAGGGATGGAGGAAGGAAGGAGGGGGGAGGTTAGTGCTTGGGAGCTGGTCTCTTGGGGACCCAAGGGTAGCGTGCGCAATCTGGTCTATACAGAGAGATTGCGAAGTATTGAATAGCTGCTTGTGCTCCAGAAAACCCACAAAGGAGTTGTCTTCATAAAGATGTTGGGTCTCTGGAAGTGGTGCTGCTGCCAGAAACGGTCTCTACTGCAGCACATCTAAATTCCTCCCTAGATGTCTGTGGCAATGCTTGCCATTTAAAATGAATATCTGCAATGTTAAGTCGTAACAGCCTATTTGGGACGGTCATTTTTGGAAGGTAGGTCTTTCTGCAGCAGATAACACCTCATCTTTTTGCTCTAGCTATCAATTTTTGCTGGTTTTGGAGGCAACTTTCCTTCCAGAGGAGGCTGGCTGAGAGAATGTTCTAGTCTGATGGCGGTTAGTAATGGTTTTGGCGTTTGGTTGAACTGTCCCGACAACTGGATCTTTGCAGGCTTTTGTACTCACCGGATGCAAGCCAGGAGTCAGAAGCTGCCTGGTGGTGAGAAACAGAGAATGAAACGTGGATGTGGACCCTGCTACGGTAGCTGGTGACGTAGCAGCAACTGGCTTTCACCGAAGGCTGAGGCTGAAGGTCTGGATGGCACCTCGAGGTCCCTTGGCGTTTAAAAATTAACGGGAATACGGAGGAGCTGGAAACTGCGGGAAGTTCCCATCTCTGTAAGCTTCTCTAGTGCGAACCATGCTTGATCTCTCTACCTGGTGTAGGATGTCCAGCTGAAGAGAACCTTCCAGAAGAACCTTCCAGTCCTCTCCTGGTTCTGACTGAGCACATGAATATTTCCTACGGAACCAGTCCTACAGGATGCTGGAAAATTACAGAAAACCGTCTCTCAGTACCAGCAGAGAATGGTTGAATCAATACTGAAGGCTGGACATCCATGGAGGCTTGGAAGGGGTGATTCTGAGCCCGATTTGATAGTGAGGTGCTGGATTGCTGCTGTGGGTTGACCTTGACTGGATGCCAGGTGCCCATCGCTCCCCTCCTCAGCAGGACAGGGTGGGGGAGAAAATAAGATGAAAAAAAAAACCAAAAAAAAACCCACAGGATTTTTAATAAAGCAAAAGTGAAGGAAAACAGAGTATTTATTCTCTACTTCACATCAGCAGGTGGTGTCCAGCCACTGCCTGGGAAGCAGGGCTTCAGTAGGTGTGGTGATTACTTGGGAAGACAAATATCGTAAATGACAAATGCCCCCCTTCCTCCTCCTTTCTCTTGGGTTTTATTGCTGAGCGTATGGAATGGGATATCCCTTTGGTCGATTTGGGTGAGCTGTCGTGGCTGTGTCCCCTCCCCAAGACCTTGCTCACCCCCAGCCCACCGGCGAGGGGGGGGATGTTGGAGGGACAGCCTTGATGCTGTGCCAGCGCTGCTCAGCAGTAGCCAAAACCCTGGGGTGGTTGTTATCAACACCTTGGTACCTACCAAGACAAGGCACAGCACTATAAGGGCTGCTAGGGGTAAAATTAACTCCCTCTCAGCCAGACTCAATACAGGCCCTCTGTCTGCTTGCAGCTGAAGGATCCAAAGGTGATTCAACCTCGCCAAAATCAATTTTGGTGTCGTCGTTACTGGTACTTTCTGCTCTAGCCTCACGGCTGCTGAGGGATCCGAGAACTGCAGGCCACCTACCACAAAGCAGTCAGAAGTAATTCCATCATCGGACAGCTTGGCGTTCCCAGGGTTGAGCTACGCTTGAGAAGAATTGATGTAGAAGCAAGCCAGAATCTGTTTTGCAAATGTCGTGTTCCACGTCACCCTCTAATTAAGGTCTAGCCCTGTGAGGAGACTTGCTGACAGCCCAGGGCAAGAACTGGGAAGAGCAAAAAAAGAGTTCTGGTCCTCCTCTGTGTTTCTGCTCCAACAAACCAGAACCAGAGGCCAGGTGCCTGTATCGCTTGTGACATCTCGAGGGAAGATGCTTTGCTTGCTCAGCCTTCTTCCAAGATTCACGTGACGCTCATCCAGCCAAGTAAAGTGGATCTTATGCAGACAGTGTTTGATGACACCGCTACATTACACACGAAGCACCTGAAGGCCAGGGGGGTTGTGCTTGTAAGAGGCTCAATATAAATTATTTGGTTTTAACGTAGAAGGTTGGCAGGGAAATCCCGATCCCAAGGCCGTGCTTTGTGGGGAATCAGAGGAGTTTCACCAGGCCTAGACGTCTCAAAGGAAGAGCCTGCTGGCAGCCCAAGAAACTCAAACGCTATAAATCACCAGGACCAGGTGGTATTTTTACAAGAACTCTGAAATAAATGTGAAAAAACAGAGATGCAGTTAAGAATTTGTCAATTACCATTAAAAATACCCACTGCTCTGGACAACTGCTCGTAACTAAAGAGAAAAAGGTGCAGTTTTAGAGGAAAATGAGAAACCTTCAGAGTGTAAGGTAGTGCCTTTCTCAGGCTACCTACTTTATGCCTGAATAGCATAAAATAATGGGAAAATATCACAGCTCCGCAAGTAACCTGTATGTTCTAAGCTACTAGAATTGCTTGAACAAAATAAAAACTACAGATATTCCAAGAACCATGAGGAAGTCCTGAATTTTAATCCTAATTTGGAAACGGAGTAACCCCATTCCTCAGAAGGGGAAAAACGTAATTTTTCTGGTCAGGGTAAGTTATTTAGATCTTCTTCAACCCAGAACAGGCTCTTCGCAATGCTACTAATTTGTGAGGAAGATTGTAAACCCTCCTGTCAAGAAAACCACCCAAAACTCAAAAAGCCTCTTCAAACGTAGGAAAAAAAAAAGAAAAGAGTGGCTGCAGCCCATGGGGAGGACTCACGTCAGAGAAAGTTCGTGGAGGATTGTCTCCTGTGAGAGGGAGCCCACGCTGGAGCAGGGGAGGAGTGCGAGGAGCCCTCCCTCGAAGGAGGAAGGAGCAGCAAGACCGACCACACTTTGCCCCCCTGAGCTGCTAGAGGGGAGGAGGTAGAGAAACTGGGAGCAAAGCTGAGCCCGGGAAGAAGGGAGGGGTGGAGAGAAGGTGTTTTTAAGATGTGGTAATGCTTCTCACTGTCTCACTCAGTCTGTTAAATATTGTTGTTAGTGTCTGAATTGAATTGTTGTTTTCCTTCCGCTAATGAGTCTGGCTTTTGCCCGTGACTGTAACGGGTGAGTCATCCCTCCCTGTCCTTATCTTGATTCCCAAGCCTTTTTGCTTCATTTTCTCCTTCTCCTTCTTGAGGGGGAAGGGGTGAGCGAGCAGCTGCACAGCGCTCGGTTGCCCTCCGGGCTCAAACCACAAGTTTGAAGGTTGGCTGAAGGAGGGAAGAGGGTGAAGCCCCTTGCTGGTTGCTGAACAGCCATGAAGTTGTTTAATGCTGCGAGTTGCTCCGTGCTTCCCTCTTCAGCAGCTTTAGAGAAAGTAGGGCCATAAAGCAGTTTAAAACCACCTTTACTGGTGCACTCTTTAGCAATAAAACCCATTATTTTGGCACAGCAGAAATCCGTGATGCAATTCACAAATATTCAGTTATCTCATTGTTCATCTACAGGAAACATAAGGTATTCCTTTAGTGAGCTTTAATGGGTACTTATATTTATTGTATGCTCATTTTACTGTTACTTCAGGAAACATCTTAGGAAAAGAATATGGAACTTGCAAGGAACTGCACAGTTAGTCCAATAAAAGCAAATTCCACTACCCTTTGAAATCCTACCTTGCAGCTTGCTTTCATCTGCTAACAGTAATAGTCATCACTGCCAACAACCTTTGAACACAACCAGTTTGGGACTTCTATCCTTTTTTGCACGTATCCTTCATCTAACCAGAAAGACGGGGAACATCTGCGGGCAGCTTCCACTGTGCACTTTTTCGGAAGCAGGAGATATGAACTTTAATCTCCTCAGGCTTCTGACACCCTGGCTTTCTGGAAGAGTCTCTCCTTGTCTTGAGATTGCTTCAGCCAGTTTCTGAAACTCTTCCGAGGGATTTTTAGCAAGCCGTGACAATTTTTAAGCAGCTCTTCGGTCTGTCCCTGTCTTTCCCATTCCCCCTCTTCAATCACAGTGTGTATCCTTACCCTCTGTTGTTTTTGCCAACTGTTCTAAGATATCTGATTACAACTGATTTTTTTAATGTGTACCAAAGGGGAAGGGAAGAAAGAGTCCTTAAGCACTTTGGCTTTCTTGGCATCATGCTAGTCTTTCTTCTCTTCTGTATTGTAGTAGACGATTAATTGCCACGGCAGTTTCTCTACTACAGTTACAGCTATGGATTTTTAGCCACAAATCCAATTCTTCAAACGAAGACGAGCTTTTATAACCTAGGCCATACCTGATGCAGAAAGAAACCTCTGTATCGTTTCTCTCTGAGCAGAAAATCCTGTGCCTCTGACACAGAGTTCTTCCTGGAAACTTTCCTTGGGTCACCCATTTCCACCACAACCAATGCCTTTTAGGCATGGATATGTAATCAAACTCTATGTAATAACTGCTTGCATGCATTCATACGATACCTACAGCATTCCATCACCACACGTGATGGATACAGTGATCTTTACGAGGCAGATTTTAGGTTCTCTTTACAAACACATCAAAAAAAAAAAAAAACAAAAAAGCCAAAATACCTAATATATGTTCTTCAGTATTTTCGAAACAAATCTTTTGAAGAACAAGGTTTTTGGTTTCTTAACACATGGGTAAACACAAACTGGAAGCAAGCGGCTAGTTGCATTGGTAACAACTTAAGCCACATGCAAAGAACAGATTAAAGCAAGGCAAACATGAATAAAAGACCCCAAAGCTCCTGGTAAAACTGTGCCTTGTTAAAGAGCAGAAGCTCTCAGATACGCCTGAAAGTCCCAGTCACTAAATAAGGCTGGAGCCCATATCTGGCTAATCCACTGCTAGCTTACAAACTTTTATGTTTGAAAAATCTATTACCTGCCTTCTTAGCAGAAGCTTATTGGAATAGCTTGCATTAGTCAGGCTGTAAATGTGATATTAAAGTATGTTGGTCTTAAGTTTTGATTACAAGGACAAAGAACCGTTCTACGTTTTCACTGCAGTTCTTAAAAAAAAAAAGAAGCTTCTACAAAAACATTAAGAAACCAAGTGCAGATACTCTATTTAACCAAGCTTTGAGACTTATCTTATACACAAGGGGGGGGGATAAAACTGGATTCAGGTGTAATTTTCACAAGTGCACGCATTTTTTTTCCCCCCTTCATTTTCTCTATTTGCGATACAGAATGAAAAAAATACAGCTTGCTGAGTGCAATGAATTGCTGAATTCAAGCACAATTCGTTTCTGGAACCTCCACAGCCATACAGCCAACAGGGGGCTGTCTGGCTACATGATGTTATCGAACCTGCAGGGGAATTCCGATCTGACTGTACAGCCTACCCTTCACGCACCCTTCCTAAAGCTGGCTGTCACACAGGTCATTTAACAGATTTCATACCTCCCAAACAGAAGTGGTCTTTTTCACCTCCGTCTGATACTACCAGAAATTTCTTAATTTTGTGCCTGAGGTTTCAGTATACACAGATGAATAATACAGTTTATATATTTATTGATATGTCTGAAAACAACAGATAGTGGGGTTTTGTTTTGGAAAAGAGAGAGACTTTCACATTGTCTTGATGACAGGAAAGGTGTTTCGCAGCTGTTTTCCTATGCTAAGCTCTACCTACATGAGCATTTTTGTGTTAGTTTCCAATGTAGAGACCAATCATCTGTAGGAGCAAAGACGCAGACCGTGATGTTGCTGGCCTCTCTGATACTCATTTAAAGAGCAGGATAGGCAAAGTCTGTCTGTAGGAGTATCAAGAAAGGAAGAATAAGGCCCTGAATATTCCTTACATTGCTTAAACCAATGGAAATTAACTTTAATACCCGAGTGCCATTCTCAAGAGCAGAGGGAACTGTTCCTTGGTGCCAGCACTGTGGCTCTCACAGCAAGCACATTCAGCTGGCTGATCTTACCAAAAACTAACCCAAAGTCATTCAGTGAAACCACCATGGAAATATCAGAGCCAGGCTAATACTGAAGGAAACAGGAAGACTCTGTCAGTCCCAAACTTGTCTGGCTTGTGAATCACAGGACTGTAGCACCAGAGTCATATATATTTGTTGACTATTCTAGCTGGTCCAGTAATACAAACCCTGAAGCTTTTCCTTTGCCGTTATTTCAATAAAATATTAAAAATGTATACATTTGAGACTTTATATTCTATAATTCATGCCTTATATAGTTCAAATTTTATAATTCTTAAGGTTTTTTTAGTATTTTATGAGAGATTCCAAAATGTTTTACTTTTAAAACCACTTAAAAGTGCAAAAGCTGCTGACAGAAGGTTCCTTTATAGGTAATAAAGCCACGTGCTTGCCCTGCAAAAACCATAGAGTAATGTGAAACTTTCTATCCACGGCTGTCTCCTATGGCTATAAACAGCAGAAGAAAACATTATGGATACATTATTCCCATCTCTCAACAGAAGCTAAGTCAGTCAGCCCCTCTAGATACTCAGCACTACATACTTAAGATGGAAGACTCAGACTGGATAAATGCTGTCACAATTAATTTGTTAATTTCAGAGATTCTGAACATAGGCTTCAAATTTTACATTAAGAGACAGCAGCGGTATTAGAGGAGTTTAATTTGATTTATTAACAGAGATCTTACAAGTGAATCCGACTTGAAAAAATACTGAGTTGTTGCACATGAGAGCCGTTAAATAACTTCCAACAGAAAGAAACTGGTTTAGAGTAAAGAAGTAACACCCCAGTGATATTAGCTCCCTCACAGAAAGATGAACAATGTCACTCGTTACGTTGCATTTTCTCCATAATTTTTTTTTTTTTAATCTGTTTATGGTTAAACATTTTCTTGTGATACACACTTACAACTGCAGCCTTAAAGGAGATTCACATCTCACTCAGACATAAGTCTTCACTCAAACACATTCAAAACTTCTCCCTGTTTACTTTAAAGGAAGAATTGCTGCTTTGCTTCAAGTTAAACTGTGGTAAAATAGTAGCTCACCACTTTGGATATATTTCTAGCAATCATTACTCATGACTTCTATGACAGGAGGTGGTGATGAAGAACATAAAAGGAGTCTAAACATTTCAAATTTCAATCGTTACTTCCAGTATTGCTATTTGATTAAGAGAGACTTCCTCCAATACTTAACAAGAAACCGTGATTAAGGGAAAAGCAGAAACATTTTTCAGATCTCTGTGTCTGAATATCAAGTACAGAACCACTCTCTCACTCTAAGTAGGCCACATGCAGTACCGAGAGAACTGCTTTTGCAATTTGAAGAACAATGACCTGCAGAAGAACTAAACACACAGGTCTAAGTCACTCTACTTTTTTAAAGATGCACTGCTTACCACTGTACATAGGAAAATGAGTGTTACAATTTAACTAGTTCATCCTTTCTGCAACGTAGATCTTTATAGGTAAATTTATTGTAAAATATACTGAAGTTCAAACATGAACGTTACCTTTAGTGTATATAAGAGTTTGCAGAATATTGAAGGTGTTACGCATGAAACCACATTCCAAAAATGGGACGAACGAATGTTTACTGCTAATAATACCTATACAGGCAAAATGAATCAGTGACAAGATAGGACACAAATCAGAGTATTTTAGAGTTCATGGGACTGGACAAATAGACCATGAATCAACAACATGGAAACTCAGTTTCTTGGCTTGAGCTGGTAATAAGGAAAGTTGACTGCAGATTTGGTCTTTAAAAGGTGTACCCTACTCACCTCTCTCTCTGAGACCAGAATTAACAAATGCCATAAAAAATTCCATGAGGAAATGCATTACTGCAGTACAGCTACTAAACAAAAGTGGGGGCTTTTGTTTTTGTTTTTTTTTTTTTTTTTTTTGTTTTGTTTTTTTTTTGTTTTTTTTTTTTTTTAAAAAAAACAAGCAGAAACCCAACAGCCCTTCAAAGTAATTGTCTCTTACCCTATTTTAAATGTGACATGGAGGTGTAGAAACTATAGTAGTACCCTGTTTAAGACTGTCAGACATAACATTCCACACTATTTTAATTCAAATGACAACTCCTAAGAGGCTCAGCTGCAAATGTGAACAGCCAATGTTTCTGTCAGACGTGAGGGTCTGAGGTCAGACACCTCTGAAGTGAGGAATACAAGTACTTCAGAAACAATTCCCTGGTAACTTGCCTAGCATCATATGAGCATACAGCAGAAAAAATAAGGCAGAAAAATAAACATCATGTCCAATTACTAGGAATTCTCATTTGACATAACCATGAAGACGTGGTTCCCCCTCCACTTTCACTCTTTTGTTCCATTGGCTACAGAATTTTGTACCAATTTTTGCAGCGCTCACAGCAGCATCAGGCTTTTTGCTGGCACAGCCCATAAACATCTGCCCTGGCTCAGCACACCAGGCCTTAGATTAAATATTCTGTATAATCACGAAGATTGCTTCATAGTACACTAACACAAGGGGGCAAATGAAGACTGCAGCATCTTAAAGCAGGAGTTATCTAACTTCTTAGATGATCACTTCATTTTGTGATCATGTTCTTTCTACAGTTCTTACAGTTAAGTTAATAAATTGTGGTTTGGTTTGTTTTTTTTTTTTTTTTCTTTTTTTTTTCCCTCCTCAAAAGCATTTCCCTCTGAGTTCCAATTCCAGTATTAGTTGAAACGTTTTATTTACTTCTATGCAGACGATGAGAAGTGAAGCATCTTTCACATGAAGAAAGGCTGGGAGAGCTGGGCCTCCAGCCTAGAGAGGAAAGGCTTGTGTGTGTGTGATCTTTAAGTTTATAAATGCCTGCTGATGGGGGTATGGGAGAGGAAAGAAGACATAGCCAGGCTCTTCTCAGTTGTGTCCAGTGACAGGATGGGAGGCAATGGGCACAAAATGAAATGTAGAAAATTCTATCTGAACAGAACAGGTTTCAGAGTCTCCATCCTTGAAGATACTCAAAATCTGACTGGACACAGCCCTAAACCAAACCAACCTGCTTTTCCTGACCCTGCTTGGGCTAGATGATCTCCAGAGGTCCCTTACAACCTCAGCTACCCTGTTATTCTGGGATTCCTTTTGAGGCCCAAGATCCACGAAGTGGCTGAGAACACTAGTAAGGTTGCCCTCTTCTGTGTGGAATACGATGAGGGGGATGAGACTAACAGGTGATTTCACAGACGACAGCAAAAGCTACGACTTTGCAGTCTGCATTCCCCTCTGGATCTGAAGTGCAGAGTGCTCTAGTGAACGTTAGGAATGATCTGAGGCGTGCAAGCCCCTTTCCCCCACGCTTGACTCATTCTCTTTGCCTTTGGCCAGATCCCTTCTGCCAGGCTGCTGCTTCTTCCAATTTCGAGGAACAAAACAACCCCCAAATCTTTGCCCACCCTGTCCCAGTCCTTCCAATTTTCCAGTTCATCAGATCTGTCCTTCCCCTATAAGTTCTTAGCTCCAGCCTTCCAACATACAGGCTCTCGCTAGCTGTCTTCGCTCCCATACAGCTACTAGTCTCAGTTTATTTTCAGGCAGGCCTACCTTTTCTTTCCCTTTTATATGAATTAAGCATCTTTTTCCCCTACAGTTCCTAAAATAAGAAAATAAGCACCTGAAAACAGCGAGCCTTCCTTTCTTTACAACAGGCACAATCCTTAGGGCCCCAGAGTGGCAAATGCAGGGAGAGTTCCATTCAGCTCTGGACTGTGGCACTGCCCATGCAGGTAGACCTCTGGAAAACACAATTGCTGATATCATTTAAGGCACGTAAACCATGCGAGAAACAAGACGTTCTTTTCAAAGGTTTAAGAACCGAATAATCTGAGTCAGCCTTCACAAGCACTTGAAGTCATTTTCTTAATTCAGACAGGATCCTCAGTTGAGCTCTAGTTCTGCAAATGCTCAAATTGTATTTTCACCCGGTCACTAAACTGTCAGAAGCTGCTGGGGCCACCAAACAGGGCGGTCCCACCTTTGCCCTTCTGCTTCTCCCCGCTCCCTGCGATCCCTGCCTTGTGCCAGTTCCAGGGGTTTGCATGGTGAACCAGAAGGAAGCAGTTTGTTTCGCCGTTCACATCGAGGCCCTGCACCGGCACAATAAAGTATTCAGGAACAAATGGTTTGGCCGCTGGGCTTTGAGAAAGCCATGCAAACAGACTTGTTGCACGCTCTCTAAAGAGCTGATCGGAAAGATTTGAGTCACATCTACTCATAGAAGTCCTGGAAAAAAAAAGCCTAGATACATTAAAATACTAGATCTACAAGAGTAACAGGATGGGTGGCCCTCTGCAAGCACCAGAGTCTGCAGCGTGCGAACAAAAATCTGTGACCTTTAAAGGGAGGGGAACAGTGGAAGAATAACGTCTTCTTCTTTATAATCCACAGAGTCTGGGCTTTCCAAGCATTTCTAAGTTTTGAAATGGCCGAAATGTATGTGCAGGTCTTTTGTATTAAGCAGTTACAGACAACCAAACATAACAGTGCTACCTAAAGACACCGCAGTGAGAAAGCTATCCAACTTTGAGCCAGGTAGGGTATTTTTTCCAAGTTGTCAACCTCATTTTAGCCACATACCTTAAGAGACCTGTGGTAGGTAAATGTACACACAGAAGCATTTACTTTATTAAAAGCTGTAGACCATCTAATATTGCATAGCCTTACTGTTAAAAACACCACAGGTCTGAACTGAACTGGAAATTTCAGCCATCAGTAATTTCACCAGTTCAAATCCATAGCAGGTGCAGTCAAGAAAAGCGTGATTTCGATCAGTACATATACCAGGCTGAAATTCTATATGGTCAAATAATGCAGATTTATGAATTCTAACAACCTGGATTCATCTACGTCATGTTTGTACCTGCGCAGCTGCAGCAGTAGCAGGTCTGTCAAGCCTGAAGTCAAAACAAATCCCTAGTGCAGCTAAGCTTTTTTTCTCCTTTTAATAAAATCTGTGACGTATAAACTTGAATCTGTGAGCACTTATTTGAAGAAGGCATGTGTATTTTAAAATATAACAGGGCTAATTTAAAATGCATTTTAAAATGTAACAGGGCTAATAAAATGAGATTAGCAACTGATACTGAGTCATGATAGTGAAGAAAATAAAATCTTAAAAGGAAACACACTTTCAGATCTTGACTGTATCTAAAATTAGTGACATTTACATAACCATTAGTCTACATTTGACTCACCACACAGTTCTTGCATGCAGTTTTTAAAAGGAAAGAAGCCCAAGTAATTTCCATTCTCACTGTAGCGATTTCAATCATCTCAATGAAAGATTCCCCTGTAAGAGAAACACCTTAGTGGAAGATGAGAAAAAAATTAGTAAATTCACAGTCAAATACAGGGTTTAAATTTCTAGTCATGAAATTGTTGCCTGCCTAGAGACACAGTGATTTAAGAAATGAACAGTTTCCTAAGTTTTGTTAAAAATTTGGGAAGACGCTTTCGCTTTATGTGCTTAACGTCACTAAAAACATGATGAAACATTTCCCAGTTCCATTCATTAAGAAAATGCTGTAAAAATCCACACACAGTTTTAAGAGCTTTAATAAAGAAATAGTGACATTTAAAGTAACACCAATTTTATAATTCTTTTAATATATATATAAACACACTTACCAAAGCACTGTTAGACAGACGTAGCTTGAAATGGCTCCATTAATAAATTCAGTTTTCACATAAACCAAAACATTCAAAGTTTTATATATATATATATATATATATATGTCTATTCTATATTTACCATCAGATAATATGAAGTCCCAAATACTGTTTCTGAACAGATGAAAATACAAACAAAAGCCAAAGTGCTCATAAACAATCAACATTCAAATTATAACAACAAAAAGGCTTCAAGACATACATGAAACATCCTTTTTCATGACTCACATGCAGAAGTGGCTAGCCTTACTTCAGCAGCACAGTTAATACTGGAGATATTTACAGTCTTAACACCAATATTTACGTGCTGCTAAAGCATGACAGACATCAGCATCACGAGATTGACTAATTCTTAAGTGATATTTCTCTTCAGGATGACGAAATCCTTGTATTTTTGAGGCAGCACAATATGGCCTGCACCTTTTCAAAACCCACAAACCATTATGTGCTGCTACGTTATGCCAAGGTGTCTACCGCACTTCGAAGAAATAGAAACACAGGCTGAAAGCCGAATGAAGAGTTTTCTTATCGAATGTTAGTTTTCACATACTGACATCAGCTGTATTAATAAACTACAAAATGTTTATTAAACATTTGTCCATTTCCAAGCTGTTTATTTACAGTGAAGCTCTACACTTTTATTGTCAGCTGCCCATAATACCTTAACGGGCCAGGAACTGGACCATTGCGTGCCTGATTGGAGGAACTAAAGATTATGTAGATGTTTACTTCAAAGCAAAACAAGAAAGACTGGGTAATTTTCTAATCTAACTGTTGGTCACCTAGAAACCTCCGATGTGAAAAAAACATGTATGAGAGTAAGAGCTAATTTCAAAATAAGCTTCTGTCAAGTACTGTCTCAGTCCAAGATGCTTGTTACCTCTGCAGGGTACCCTTACCACAATTTCGGGGCAGGCAGATTTACAAGTGCTTCTTAATCCACTTCAGGGAAAAAAATATATTAAAAAAGCCCCACAACAGATTGTTACCAAGAACAGTAACTTCTCTGTTATTAGGAGACTGTGTTCATCTTCCCCCAGCCTAGAATGGCCATGCTACTTTACTTGAAGAGGTAGGCAAGAGACTCAGAGTTCACATTCCTGCCAGGTATCCTTTTCTTACACAAAAGTATGCCAGCATTTTAAGTATGTACAGTACTTTCACTGGTTCCCTAGATAACCTGAATTATGCTCTCTTAGATGTTTTTATACCAAATTATTAAGACAAAGGCTACTTAGACAGCACAGACCCAAGTACTCCATTCCATCGTACTAAGCCTTCTAGTCAGTTCATGATAAAACAACCTCTGTAAATTAACTGGGCTATCTGTAAGCACAAAAAAGTTTGGCAGGCCACAAAGGGGGAAAGTTTGGTGAGTTTTCCTTCTCGCCCTTCCTATTTTTGCTCCTACAATAACAACAGTGGGATGATCTCTGCTAGAAGGGTCCGTTGCAACAAATGTATCAATTAAAGTGAAATTTGATAGTGTAAGTTTACAGTAGCTGCAGCAACACAGAGGTTTTTATACAGCCATCTACATACAAATGCTACTTCAGGAACTGTATAAAAGAGCCATTTCCGGTATATTTTACACATGCACAACTATATTTACACTTTTTTCCCCCCCTCCTACTACCTGTGCTTGCTTTTTTTTTTTTTTTTTTTTTTTAAATTGGACAGCTAAAATAGGCAAACTAGATTATATAGGCACAACTTACCCAGTACCTTGGCGAAGTAAATCCTGAGTGAAAAGTCAAAATAAACCTAACTGTAAAGGTATGCCGTGGCAGTTGGTCTTCCACCCTGAAGAAACGGTGCTAGGCATAACCCAGGAGAGGAGGAGGTAAAGAAAAATCTCCACCATATATACATAATGTGGAAAAGCAAAGATAGAGATAGATGCAAGCAAAAATGCTAGCCAGCAGTAAGAGATTTACTTCAACTTTTCTGGCGAAAGAATATGAAAGATGGTCTGCAGCGAGAGAAAGTAGTGCTTCTTACTTACAGATTTACCTTAAAAGACTGAAAGGAAATTATTTAAATAAGACAGTTGGACGTTTAATACCTTTGGAAGTACATTTCTCACTTGTACATTCAGGCCAAATTCTTCATTTGTAAACTATGTGTTTATCTAGATACTGCTGTTTCAATTGCCTAGTTGTTCCTAACTTCTAGCTTAAGCATGGAGGTTTTTTCCTGTTGCATAAGTAAATTCCTCTAAAATTAACCTACACGGACCATGAAAACTTGACAGAACTATTATGTTATTTTCCACAGTAAGTACATTAGTAAGAGAATTTGCAGGTAATTCCCCCCCACCCATCCCAAACGTGAACACAAATCCTCACATGTATTACAGAATGGGGTGGTGGTGTTTATGGTTTGGGGTTTTTGTTTGGTTTGGTTTTTTGCCTTTTTTTTTTTTTTTTTTAAAAAAAACCCCACAAACTTTACTACCAAAAATGCCCCAAAACAAAACAAATAAAGAAAGCACTGTACAGTTTTTCGTGTTGCTATTAAAAATATATTTTACCTGTAAGGAATACGATCGAGTTTTCACATAAAATTGAAGACATTGTATGTGAGAGAAGGGGTTCAAGAACAGGGAAAGAATGAAAGGAGGAAGACTAATGTAAAAAGTGTACTGATAACTAAGCCAGAAATCTACTGAAATCCAGCAGTGTCTGAACAAAGCTTTGTACCTTTATATTTTGGGCATAAAGCCAATAGTCATGGCATCAAGAGTGCTTCTTCTACCTCTGTCCTCGTATCTGTGGGTCAGTGACAGACAGAGGAGATGTCAATAAAAGCTGGGAATCACATACGCAGGCAGCTCCGTTAACTCACCCCGAGCCCCCGAAAGCAAGAGCTCTGCTGAGGGGGATGGAAGAAAGAAGGATTATGAAGACACAAAACTGAAATTCCATAGAAGCAGGCTCTCTACACATACACAGCAGTCAGGAATGCTTTTAGAAAAAAACAAACTTTTTTTTTTTTTTTTTTAAAAAAAAAGAGAGAGAAAAGAAAAAGGGTGTGTGTTTTTGTGATTGGGGTGTTCCCAATCAAGGAAGGAGCCTTTTCTTCATATCAGTATTTCTTAGCTGATTTATCAAAGACCAAGCCTAATATAAAGTATCATGTTCAGTTTTTATTGGTTTATGGTTAAGACTTTATGACAACACCAAGCCCAATTCAATCCCTTTCTGACCCCATGAAAACCAGCTACAAGTGAATTTATGGCTACTATAACAACTAATAAGCTCCTTAAATGCTACTATAACTACTAATAAGGTCCTTGAATTCTATGTAGCATATTGTATCCAAAAAAGCACCACTAGCCAGCAATCTGACAGTTCAGGGATTTGGAGAAAAACATATCAAAGCCTTTCTATTAAATACTATATATTGTCTCAGACGCCCAAGAACATGACGTAAGATTAAACATTTACCTTGTGCCTTTTACTTATATAACAAAAGCACTCTCTTGATATTTCTTGGCCAAAACACCTTCCTCACTGATAGTGTTATACACCATTTGCACACAACCATATTCCATTGCTTGTGTTCCTTATTAATGCAAAGCAACGCAGATCCAGAACAAAAGCAAGGCTATTGCTTCACTCTTCATCGTGACCCTTTCCCAACCTTAATTCAGCTTAAAATTAGAAATCTGAAGGTGAAAAACACTGAGGGACTCTTAGTGTTCCACAGGCTAAAGCATTACATTGTTTGTCCACCAGTGCTACTTTCCACCATAGCACAGACACCAGCAAGTACATTCCCATATCTCAGTTCTCCCAGTTTAGCTTCTTAGTTTAAGCTAGAAATGAGACAGGGCGTGTACTCAGATGGCACAGTATGAAGTGGGGCAGTCTTGACAAGCGTGTCCTGTTCTGTGCATTCCATGAAGAGAGTAACTTACTCACATGGTAGACAGGACATTTTGCAGTGATAGCTTTTTTGACAACTGCTGGTGAATCTGCAAAGCTCTCCTCTCAGAGCTCGCAGTTCAGTGCCACTAAGACACTATTCAGTATGAATAAACACACTGACAGTTCAACCCTTGCTGAAAATACATGATTTTTTTCTTTTTTTAATTAAATTCATCTGAGCAAAAGACAGAATTATAGATAGCCTCACTTCACTATTAAGAAATCTAAACATTTCTATTCTCAAACCTCAAAACTGTAAGAGCTAAAAGTATATGTAGCTGTATCTTGGTAATACACTGTTTACTTCCCCCCCCTCCGCCCCCACCAGTTTAAACAATAGTAGTTTCACTTTATTTTTGTCATATGCTTACTCAACACTGTAATATTTATACTGCAAACACACTGGAATTTATAACTCTTGCTCATTCTTAAAACTTACATCTAGAAGAATATTCTCTTACTCCTGCCTTCTGGTTGCCTTCGTTAAGGAATCATCTTTCCCCCTAATTCTTAGTGACAGCAGCCTTTAAAGTGATATGTATGTATTTAGAAAAGGAGAAAAGATTCAACTGAAATATCTCAAAGCAGTACTTTAAAGGTATTGGTGTACTTTTGGCTACTATTGCATTATTAGTTGGTTCAGGTATAATCTATGATAACCGGTTAATTCACTCAACTTAATTGAGACCACTTTGTGGTCACAGAGGAAGAAGAATTAAGAGAATAAACTAAGTGTTATTCTTGTGAAGTAACAGGAAGATTTTGAACTCATGTATAAGACTACAATTGTAAAAAACAATCTGTCCCTAACCCAGCAATTCTGTGCTAAGGTTGGTGGGGTGTTTTTTTTTTTTTGTTTGGTTGTTTGGTAGGTTTTTTTTTGAAGAAATGACTGCAATCCAGTAATAAATTAGCCCCACTACACCTCAAAAAGGAGCAGCCGTTCAGGATGGAGCTTATACACATGCTCCACATATAACAGATCTTCCCATACCTTCTACCAAGCATTTGAATATTTCTAATACTATCATCAATTTGTGTTAAGAAGTCACGATTAATGCTTGGCATAATTTTCTGAACACAAAGATGATTATATGAACAAAAGTAACTAGCAACAATCTGGCGTTTTGATTGTAAATCATGGGTAAGGTTGAGCATACAAACTTTGACAAAAAAGGAACTGTCTGTTAACTATTTCCTAATCATGTCAACAATTTTCCCCATCTAGCCATGGCAAAAGACTGGGGGAACTACATAAGTTGTTTGCAATGCAGAATATTAATAATGAAAGTTAAGCAGATAACCGTGATTACTGAAATCTACTGTTACTAAATTTGGACAATCTATATCATGTGTCCAGCCATCTCTCCAAGGATCATGAACATATTTAGACTAGCTGGAGAACTACTGCATAAGATAAACATAAAATAACAAAGCCAGCTAAAAATAAAAACCAGGAAGTAAAACCATTAAGAAACTCAGAAGTATAAAAATACCTGGAAATTTGGAAGTGCAGTTATGGTCTATCAGCATCAAATTCAGTTTTATATCCTTTTTACTTCCTCTCAGCACTCCAACCACTGCTTATACTAGCTCAACTCACACATTTGTTTGTATGAGGTGCACTTTTTTTTTTTTCCCTCCCATTGCAGACATGAAAACAAACCAAAGTGAAGACAGTTATTTGGTACTGCAATATTGATGCTTCTATTGGCGCAATAAATAGCAACCCAAATGCAATGAATTTGTGCGGAAGGTAAGAAACTAAAGGTAGTCAGTTCTGACTTGAACAAGTACAGGATGTCAAACCATTTTTATAGCTTGCTAGCTAAAAAAGCAGAACACTAAGGGAAGCTGATATAGCACACAAATATTGTCAATGCATATTTTAGTATATTATCAGTATATTTTAGTATCAACTCTTGTTTAAAAATAAAATCGAGTAAGACTAACCCCTCCCACCTCTTTTCCCAGCTTCTAAAGAGTGTTTTGTCAGATGTTGATGCATTAACTAGACTGCTATATGAAATACTTTACAGGGAACTTGTAAAGTGTAACAAGCTCTGGGTTCTAACAGGGTTTGTAGAAGTTGTAGTTAAGAAAAGCTTTCCAGATCCCTCTTCGACTGCACTGCTACAGCTTGCACACAACTTTTAAAAATCTGTCTTCTCTGCACCTTTGGCATGCACACAGGAAGAAAACTGTGAACACTTTCAATCTGTACCAGCATTCTTTCTGCTTGAAAGGACACATACAACATTAGAAAAAAGCTTCTTCGTTTTTCTTAAGTTCTATGAAGTAAGTTTTATATTTCATTATAGTGGTCATTAAAATGTTTCTTCCCCTCTGATTTTATCACAAAAAAATATTAATACTCAGTCTAGTAGATCTACCAAAAAGAAAGCCAGGTCTGTCTTAGAATACAGCTTCAGTTTCTGTATTAGTATTAAAAAAAAAAATCGTAATGCTTCTTCAGACTAAAAAAAACCCAAACAAACTCAAGATACCTTTTTTCGAGTTCTCCAATAAGAATATCCCTAGATTATAACACTATTACCTTCAGAAAATATTATGCTATGATTATAGTTCAAGCTTACAAACCCTGAAGTATACAGAATTGTTGCTGGTGAGAGAAAAATGGAACAATCCTTCTTCAGATAACAATAGCCGTACAATACAAACCGGCTATGTAATGTAAAGTTATTAAGACAGGGAAAATATATTAGGTCCTCAAAAAAAGTAAAAAATAAAAAAAAAAAAAATCAAAACATATCAGCTAACTATTAGTTTTCTGTCATTTCCATTAATGTATAGCTTTCTTAAAGAATTTTTTAAAAGTTAGTTTGATTAGATTCTCATAAGACTTGCTCATTTAGCCCAGGAAGCAGTCATAGGCATCGTGTGAAATTCTGTGCTCTCTTAAGCTGGCACCCAGTTTTTATGAAAGCCACGCAGGTATTGCTGTTTATATCTTCTAACCCTATAGTGCACAGCAAAGCTTTTCTTGTCCTCAACAGAATATTTAATACTCATGTATCCTTTTGCAGGAACCCTGGTGGTCTGTGCACAGGATCAGTTTCCAAAGTACTGCTGTAGAAGTGGAAAATACATTAGTCAGTGTTAACCAGACTGCCTTCCGAGTTGCTATCTTATCTGAAATTGGTAAATAATAATAAATCATAGGACAGTAATACAGCAGTGCATAGGAAAAAAATTTGGCCTGATATGTAAATACTACTACGTGCACTACACAAAACCACAAATCTCAAATTTTGATTTTGTTACATCTCAGCATCGTATGGAACTATAATGCCTAAAGACAAACACAAGGCCCATAGCTCAGAATGCAACCCCACTTGTAAAGGGCTAAATTTGCTGCATGTCTGCTTCCAAAGATTTAGGGTCAGAGCGACAATGCTATAAAATAAGGGTCAAAGCACAAAAAGACCAAGGCCACAGAACAAAGAGCTTTTCGTGTCCTGAAAGAAGTTGCTTTTTGTAAGCCTGCCTTCTGGCTCAGCCAGTAAATTTGTCTTTTTCTTGACATCATCCCTACATGACTTCTAGAAAATGCCAGACAACTGTATGGCTTACGAAAGGTGAGACTGGGCTGTTATAAGAAATCAGTTCAACTGTTAAGGGAATCTACCAGTTAACAGAAGACAAACACCTCCTCGTAACTGCTGTAACTTTTCCAATCTTTAGCTGTATTTCTGCAACTTCATTATTTAAGCAGTCAATTCAGCAGAAGCTTCAAGTGTCCTTAACACCTTTGGGTGCAGGTTCTCAGTCATATTATCTACTTAGATTAGTGTTTGTTCAATGGTATCTAAGGAAATATGCAGTAGCAGCAACTCAGAAAGCTATTTTAATCTTCCCCCCACCCCTCTGAAATATTGATAGAAGAGATACCATCTAACACATTGACACATACACTCCCCTTCAAAAACATTTAGGGGTTGCTTCCCCACTTCCCTGCCAGTGAGACCCACTACTCACAGAACTGAGGTAATGCAAAATAAAACGGTGCTTTCTAAGGCTCAGAGACTGCTAAGCAGTGAAGTTCATTTTTCCAGACAGAAAATTAAATTCACTTCGGATGTGCTTTTTCCAAACAACAACAATAATTTTGATAAATGAAAGGAACTTTATCTACTGGAGAGAAAAAAAAAAAAAAAAGGCAAAAACAAAAACCCCAAACAAGATAAGGCTGCCCCTTATGCCTTTATATTAAGCTAGATTTTCAATATTTCACTAACAAGCTTAAAGTAAAACCATGCTGAATTAACTAGAATTTATTAAGAAAAATATTTATAATCTAATATCTGAAGCACATCAGGAATAAAAATTTTTTTTAAATCCAGATTGTACTCTCAACCCTATCAAACTGCCTAGTAAATATTCAAAACCAAAAAGACATTAACCTTTGAACAATTAACATTTGACTTTTTTTTTTTTTAATAGAAGTCTAGTTGACAGTATGCTCTTTGAGCAAATACCAGTATTGCAAGAAGTCTCTCTCCATCATAACCCAAACCTACATGAAAGGATCAGAATTGTCACTAAGTTGTATATTATCTTTTTTAGCAGGTCTAAAGCAAAACATTTTGAAAATCAGATCTTCCTTACTTCAAGTAATTATTTTCCTCTTCAAAACAGATGGCTTCTGTCTTCAAAGTTACTATATTTAATTTTTGATCAGTCCTAGTAACTTACTTAAAAGCTGGAACTGGAGATTCAGATATGTGGAATTAGGTTAAAAAAAAATAAAAATTCCTACCGTTTGACTGTGGAGAGATCTACAATGGTATTTGAGTTTCAGGGACAGCCAAACAGAAGTTTTATGATTTCAAAGGCAGCAGATTCCTTTGTTTTTACTCTGCATTAAGCTATAATAAGTCTGTTTCCTATTTTAAACATTAAATGTAGCATTTAAGAACATTAATTGTTTTGTTTTGGTTTTTTTTCTTCCTAAGAATTTAATACAATCGAAAAATACTGTATTATAGGAAGAGCTTAGTGTAACATATGAGAGGCCTACTCCAATCATCCTACACTTTCTGAAGGAAATGATTACTCCTCATCTCTCAAGCAGCACTGGTGCGAGTATACCAATTTTCCTTGTGGTGAATAGCAGCCCACAAGTTAAGGAACTGATGCAAACTGGCAGATTCCCCCTTCTAATTCTGAGTCATATGCGTCATCTTTTTATCAAAAGCTGGGAAGAGAGAGAGAGTCTCTCTTTCAGCCTGCCACATGAAACCACCTGCTTAAAGATAGAACGTTGCTGGTACTTACACATTTGTTCTTGCTTTGTTCAAATAAACAAAATTCTGAAGACAGCCTTAATGTTAACTTAACGACAGAACTTCTCTCTGATTTAGGGCCAAAAAATCAAGCTGGTAAAAGGAAAAAGAGACAAGAGTCATGTTAGCATGAAAATGCTTATTTTTAAATGGGTAGTATCTTACCTGCAAAAGACTAAGGATTCAGTTCCTTAAAAGCTTACATGAATGCTTCATTTAAGCACTTCAGTATTCAGGTAAATTTGGTATAAATAGTCACATTCTCAAAATCAAGAGTTCACGTGTGTGATTAAGACTTATCACTGTACACGATCATCAACTAATTCCTCAACACACTCCCCCACCCCAAAAACCTCCCCTAAACCCCAGAGAATCTTAACAACTTCAGTGGGTTAAATTCCACATTTTTGTTTGGTTGGTTGGGGTTTTTTTTTCTTTCCTTCTTTCTTTTTTTCCTTCTGTGCGTTTTGCAGATTAAGAAGCGAGAAAACTATTTTCTTCTTTCACAGATACCTCACGGTCAGTCATTGTTACAGTATATACTGTGTGATGACATAACCTCTTTTCCAAAGGCTCCAGCACTGGTTAAGGTTGGGCACATCGCTGCCAGCAGATTATGTATTTTTCAGACTGCACTGGAGTTGCTGATCAGACCTGCAGAAAACAGGTGCAAACGTTTACTGTAACAACGCACTGTAGTATTTCTATTGATTTGTGGCACTGCCAGAGTGAATGTAAGTAAGTATTCTTTATAAAACAAAAATTGAGAACAGTTGAAGCAACAGTAAGTTTTAGACATTTATAGTAAGTTGTGCGAAAGAATGCAAAGATAATAGTACCTGAAAAACTGGTACAGTGTTGGAACAATCATGCCATTTTCATCTTAGATCAGCTTTTTTACATATAAGTACACATAAAATATATAATATGATATATATGTATGTATAAAATTAGATAGAGACACAAGTATAAACATACACACACACACTTTTAAAATGCCCCTGTGTTGAAATTTGTACTGTGGCACAGCATTTACATGGCTGGGTGCATACATTTCAATATAATGAGAGAATTTGCATTGCTAAAATAAGAATTCTTGAGTGCTTTTCAAGAACCATGACATCACCATTTGCTTTACAGGTTATTATTTACAAGCATTCAGGATGCTCTGTAAATCTATAACGAACATTGCAACTGTGAAAACTGTCATTTATTATGTAATGCACTGTTATATAAATTGTTTAAATTGTGCACAATATACACAGATGATATCTCCTCCTCAGTTAAATATTAAATACAGCACCTGATTGCTCATCTTCAACTAAATTTTTTTTTTTTTTTTTTTTTTACATTCAATACATTATATTTTCCTTGATAAAATTATGGACACAAAGTACCTGTCTGATGCCTTATCCTGTTCGTGGTATGTTTTTTGTTTTTGTTTTTGTTTTTTTTTTTTTTTAAAAATGAAATGAATTATTTAGTGTCTTATTTGCAGAGTTTTGCAGTATTTTGTAAGAAGATACTTTATTCACCATATATTCCATTTTCGTTGATACTTATCAGCAGGCATTGAAGTTTCAGTGCAATGCTACCCTACCTCCCAAACCCCAGTACCTTTCAGACAAAGGGTTCAATATAACACATGAGAGCAAATCAAAAAGAAACAAAAGCCCTCACTGTAGAAGTTATGCCTTTCTGACAGTGGCAAGAGTGAGTGAGGTAAGACACTGGAAGATGTTTCTTAACTTGTAATTCAGCAAAGCGTAAGAACTGGCTCAACTTCCTCCTCCTTCAGTGGAGCACTCAAGGATATAAAAAGCGAGTTAAGAAAATGATTTAGGAGGGTGATCACAAAAACCAGCTTTTGCCTGGGGGAGACCTTGGACAGTCTCCATAGGCTCCCTCTTTTCCTACACAGGGCCACAGGCACCCATAACTGTTCTGGGGTAAACTGCTGCTTTGAATTGCCCTCTAGTGTCAGCCTTCATGAATTCCTACCTCAATGACAAAATTCTGTTCAGGTTTTTACATAATGGAAAGTGGGTCAGCAACATAAGTTATATTAATCTAAAAATAAAACAAACAGAAAAACTTGAACAGCATTTTGAACGATCATTTTCAGATCAGAAGACTGTGAAGTTGCCAAATTAAGTACCACACCAAAAATGCAAGAAAAAATATGCATATCTAAATAGCAACCCCCCCCCCCCCCAAAAAACCAAGGACAATAAATTTAAGAGACAACATATGAACATTAATGTGTTTTACATTTCCGTTAGTTTCTTACGCAGCTTCACAAAAATATCAATTTCTGAAACAAACGTTCAGTATTCACAGCCAAATTCACTGTAATTACAGTGACGTAGCTAGGATCAAAACCTTCATGAAAATTTAAGAGTTTCTGGTGTAAAAACAGAACACAGTCTAGCAGTACTAATACCCTGGAAGGAATTATTCTCTCACTGCTAATTCAAGAGTCTCCTAGTTACACTCTAAACCTGGATGCAAAACAGGCACCATGCAAATGAAGATCCAGATTTTAAACCTGGTAATTCCAGAAAGAAAGTGCAAGCATTTCCCTGCGAGTTTATTTCAAACCATGTTTTATCTCCTCTTGAATTGATCAGAGAGGTCATGAGTTTAGGACTTAAAGAAGTATGGAGAACACGTCAGTACCACTTGCATATCATACAGGCTATGGATTTCAACATTCACAGCATTAAAGATGAGCATACGACCCTTTGTTTAAAAAAAAAGACTCTGGTCATACTGAACTACAATCCCTAACACACACTCACTCTGCCTGAGAATTGAAACATATTGTTAGAGTTAGGTGATAAAACAGATGAAGAAAAATACAGATTTGACTGCTGCTTGTATAACTCCTGTGCTTGGCGTTAAAAGCATCATTCTCCCTTCTCCTGAGGGGGGGGGGGGGGGGGAGGGAAAAAAAAAAATTAAAAATCTTAGTTTCAGGGAGCGTGGGGACAGGGAAACCAGGACATAATAATTCTTTTTGATACGGAGTTTTTTCTTGTGCAAGATACCAACATGAGTGTGACAGTATCAACAGAGAACTCTGTTCTGCAATAGACTTCTGAATATATATTTTGATTTAGAGATAGACTTTCTCCTAAGAGCCATTACAACATTTCACAACAGATGGAGCATCCTCCTTTTCTAATTCTTAATCTTGACTAAAATATGGACTAGCTTGTAACAGGAGGAAGCAAAGTGTTTGCAGAATTACTAAAGTGATAAGACACTTAAGACCACGGAATCTACCCATTCTACCAAGAAAAAATTTTGCTCCAAAAGAATAAAGAAATTCTAAAGGAAATGTTTTGATTTATCAGATCCACAGGCTCCCCTGGAAGTCCTGTCTAAGCCTAAAAGTGACTTATATTATGCTCTATCTATTTTAAAGTAGGAAATTATCAGTTAAAGTTGGGAAGATCATAATCATGTTCATAATTACAATAATTTCAAAATGTTAATATTAACTTTCATATTAATATTTAAATCCATTTCCTTCTGTGAGGAAAGGGGGAATTTAAAAAAAAAAAAAACAAAAAATAAAAAACACATAGCACATTCACAGGAAGCAAAAAGCAAGCTCTTAAAATTTAGTGGATTAATGGAAAGGTGTAAATATTTTACAGATATTTGCACACTACTAAGATTTTTAAGCACTGCACAAATGAAAAAAAAATCTTGCTAATTTCTTTCTTTGAATAGATTATCTCAGTAGTATTATGCTAAAAAGCATTAATTTTCTCAAAATCTTACTGTAAAAATTTAGAATAATGCAACAGAAAAAAATCTATTCTGTGGAAAAAAAAAATCCTACCCCCAACAAACTTTGAAAAAAATGTACTGTGAATATCCATGTCTTTAAAATAAATTCAAAATTAACAAGGTTAAAAATAGCAGTTTATTCAAACACACTACTCAATTAGCAATTGCATCTTCATATATGCCCTTCATGCTACTGTGCCAACAGCAGTCTAAACCAAGGTGGATTAATGAGCCATCAATAAGTAGTTGAACATTTAAGAACTCTGATTATATTTCTCATTCCCCTACCCACATCTTAAATGTATGGGTTTACATTCATTTCTACTTAGGTTTTTGTTTAAAGAAATAAATATAGAAAATTTAAAATAATAAAAAAGGCAACGCCTTTCTTTCATATATTTGTGTTTGAGAAGAATAAGCATTTGAATACCCCAATTAGTATGTTTTAACTATTTTTCCTGAAGAATTTGTGTCTCATTTGTTTTTCTTTTCCTATTGCCTTGCAAGACCATTTTATCAACAGACAAGGAAAAATGAGGTGTAAGTACACCAGTCTTAAATCCTTCCTATATACATGTTTCATTAAATGCCTAATCTAATAATAAAAGTTAATGTCTATTTAAATCTAATAGTATACAAAACCCCATTTTAAAATTATGTTAGGCTTGGATCTAGTTTAAACTAACAAAATCCAGAAAATTCGGTTGTTTCAGATTTCAAATGCTGAAACAGCCATGCCTAAGATATCACAGTCTTTCAAACAATGGCTGATTTTACATGTGTTGTAATAACTAGGCATGGGATGCATTTATAGCCACATAACTCCTCCAGGAAAATCATTTAAGTTGCCTTTGAAAAGCAAGAGAAGCCCTTAAAGAAAGCATAGATAAGGTGACAAAGTAATCTACAAGAGCTCTTTCAGATGAGCAATAAGCATGCATTGTCAGCTTTCAAATTATGATTCAGTCAACAGGGTCTGTAGAGCCTGAAGTGCATACCTGTAGCACGAACAGTAAAAGTGGCCAGGCACAGTTACTCTTGAGAAGCATTTCAGCAAAAAAAGCCTGTACATTTTTATCTTTTCAGCTTCGTTACAATTAGATATTGCAAAACAGTTTACGAAGTCAAGCATACAATTTGCAATAGCCACACCAACAATTTTTTAAGGGGCCAGCACTGCAGCCCTTATTTCAGGCTCAGCTTCCAACAAAATAAATGGTAGTTTTGCTACGAACTACAATAGCAGAGGCTAAGAGTAAGAAAATAAACCAAACACACCCCACATCTCTCTTGAAAGTTTCACCTACTCTTTGGGTGATGAAACAGCCAGAGTGACTACCAAATACAAAACAGTTCTAGGAAAAAAAAAAAAAAAAAAAAGATGAATATGGGCCAAAATTCAGCATAAAAATCTTTTAGAGCAAATCAACACTTTGAAAGTGGATTCTAATGATAACTGACAACTGCAGCAGTCTTGAAAGATATTCGAGCTTGTAAATGACTGAGACTCAATTACTGCAAAACTCTTTGGATATTATAAAAATTATTTATACTTGTCTCAAAGTTCAAAATGCTTTAATATCTTTTATTCATTAAAGGAAATAAAGTTTGCATCTAATGAGAACATGATTCTGCAAATCCTTATTCATGGTAGCGAGTCATTAGAACTACTTGTGTATTTAAAAGTTTGCAGGATTAGGCCCTAAATTTAAAATCCCTTTGATTTACAGTTGTGAACCAGAAACCATATTTTTTTGCTGAATAAGAACCTATGAGAAATACTCTGAACTTGTGTCAGACCAAGGAACACTCCATCAAACTTTCACCTTTTAAATATGTCACAAGGGAGCCTTAGATACCTTTGCCTTGCAATATAATCCTGATTTTCATTAACAAGAATGTAATTGCTTTTGTGCAGGGGAGAAAAAAAAAAAAAAAAAAAAAGAATGAACAAATTCAAAGAAGCGTTCTCTGAAATCTTTATATTCCTAAGACAACTAGAAGAAAAAAGGAAAAAAAAAACCCTAACCTAGAAATGCAGTACATTCAGAGCAGAGTTGCTGGAGAGAGTGAAATATTTATTTATTTGGGAACATATTAGGCATGTTACCCAAACACTGTTACAGCATTAATAAAAATACTTTCACTGTCGTTTTTAATCACAGAGAGAAAATATTAAAAATTTAAGATTTACCTACTCACTAATCACAAACAGCAAAGCTTATATAAACTTATGTTTCACTTCCTATACTTTCTGTATTCAAAGTTTTGTTTCTCAGCTGATAATTTTCCACAGGAGGTCTTAACTACCCTAAAATAATAATATTATATGAAAAATATATTCAGAACATGTCTGCCTCAAATACTTCTGTAACAGGAGGTGTACTACTGATAAAAGCCAGCAATTCTTCAGTTACACTACCCATTACTTACAACAATGAGGAAATATGAAATTTACACCTCACTGGATTTACTTGGTATAAATTAGCAGTTACAGGGACAATCTAAAATTTTGTTTTTCAAAACTTCTCTTATTTTATGGTACAATTACTTCCTACCAAAAAAATGTGCTCTTGAAGACAGACAGATTTGATTAAGGATAAAAACTGGATTCCAGCTGAAAGCTGGAATTGCTAAAGTCACGACATGTTCATAAAAATTGTTGTACTGTAATATATTTTGCTGAAGATAAAGTCTTACAGTTTTTACTACTCCATTTACTGTTTAAACAAATTTACTCAATCCAAGAGCAGTTACTATTTTAATTTCAATTGTCTATGTAAATGGTTAGTTAAGATTATTCATATACAAGTAGATAGGTTATGATTACTGCGAATGGATTTCTCAGTTTCAGCCAAATTAGTACTTTTAGTGCAAAGTAGGACTTGCAATATGAGTGTAGCATACTCCATATTATTCTTGTGTTCACAGTTTTACGATACAATATCTATTTACCAACAAATAGCTAAAATAAATAAAATTTCTGACTATTCTTGTACAGGTGGAGGGCTCAGAAGACCATTTTTTCCTGTTTTCTGCTTCTCTGCTTGTCAGGTAGTTAGTTTATTAATGCCTTTAAAAACAAATTTTGCACACTACATTGAAATGCACTCAGCTAGCTCTCTTCCATTCTTTAACACACCCTTCCAACAAAAAAATAAAGTTATTTAAAAATAAACACTATTATCATCCCTACTTTGTTTTTGGATTAGCAACATTTCAGTTGGAGTAATTCCCAAGACAAGAATATGAGAACAATACTGTATGGAGAATTTATATAATTCCAATAATCAAGGCTGTTGCAAACTCAGCTTTTTATACATATTTTTGGCCACTTCATTTCCTTCTGAGCACAACTTGTGTGAATACTTTTACTTAGTCTTTTATAATTTTAGAGGAGTGTAAAGAAGAATTATATTAACAAAAAAGAAAATCTTGAAAAACCCAACAGAACTGGTATATTTTGAATAATCTGAGTAAATTACACTCTGTGTACTTTTTTAAAAATAAAGAACATATGTAATAAGAGAAATGTTAATATAATATATACCATGCTTATGCTCCATCAACCTTCCAGAAAGTTTTTCAATCACGGGAGTAAGCTGTTCTCCAAAATCAGCTCTCTATTGAAAGGTCGAAACCTGCAATAAAAATGTCATGTATTATAACATATTTCCAACATCCACAGTTTCATGGTTGATCCCCAAACATAGATGTAGGTCATCGGCTTGACCCTCACATTGTCTATGTTACAGGAAATCCTAATTTTAAAAATACTTATTTTTTTTTTTTTAACCAAACTGACTTGATTAGGAACACCTGTGATATGCCTCTTTATTATCAGAAGCCTCCTGAAACAAATCAGATTAGCATGTTTCTGCTTTCATTCTTCCCACAGCATTTTAAGCTGAAAGTAAGAGGAAGAAAAGAAAGAAAAAAAAAAAAAAAAAAAAGAAAAAGAGGAGACTGTGTGGGGGTGGGTGTGCTGTTCTCCCTCCCCACCCACCCTCAATCTCTCCCTCCACCCTCAAACAAGCAAACAGGTAAGTATAAACCACTTAATGGCTGTGTGATCACTGCTGTCATATTTAATAAAATATGCTACTGAGTGTTAAGTATTTAACAGTGTTTTTCT